ACAAAAGACATATGATTGTAATATGCATACAAAATACATATATTCTACTTCGCAAAATATATCTTCTCTCTCTTTTTTCAAAGTTGAATTCCTCGAGTTTGCTCTTCAAGAGGAAGAAAATAAATGTTTGTCGTTACTTCCCGATTTTTATATTTATTTTGTTATTTTATTTATTAAGCATCTCGAAGTAACTTGAATTTTATTATCTATTAAAATAACTGTTATTGTTCAGAATTGAACTCTCCGAATTTGGAAGAAGACAAGTATTCACAATTCTTCACAATTCTTATTTTATTATGAATCCTGTTACTTTTAATCACGTTAAACAATTCAAAGTTATCGAAATGACATCAATTAAATTATCAAATTAAAATAGTACTGTAAAAAATATAAGTATGGTAATTTAATTACTTGGTGTTTGTATATAATTCTTACTGTATTGATGTTAACATTAACATCAACATGGAGCTAATTTAAAACCCTATTTGTCACCATTATGATATAGATTTAAAACTCATAGTGTGTTAAATCTACATTATGTTTATATTAACATCAATACGATAAGAATTATACAAACATCGCATGTGTTAAATTCACACCCATATTATTTAGAGTGTGGAGATGCGTGACGTCACATTGAAAATTGTTCAAAATTTTGTTTGTTTTTCTGGACTCTTAATAAAATGGAAAACGACCTTATTTTTTCCCGGAGCGTAAATCTTGATTGCGCAGATTATATTATGACTGTAGTCTACATGGAAAATTTAAGACTCTACACGACATTGTCCTACATTGCGCTTCCAATACACGTGTACTGAAAATCATTATATACTCTTTCCCCTTGTAAACGTTCGGTCGTTCAACAATGATATTAAACTCGTTAATATATGATTTATCGACAGATTCTGCCGGCAATATTGATTACGTCGACGTGCGAGATAAACGCTGTCCTGACAGAAGACGCGAAGGCAATCGAGAATGGGAATGATTATGCCCAAGTCCTCGAGCTTTCATTATTGTTTTACGAAGCACAGCGTTCTGGTAAGCTGCCGAAGAACAACAGAATCTCATGGCGAGGCGATTCCGCATTGTACGATCGCGGTTCGAATGACGAGGATTTAACCGGAGGATACTACGATGGTAATAAGCGAGTTACGTTTTCAATCACTACATAATTCGATAAGTTTATGATATTATTTAAATCTAGAAAGAAATATATCAAAATGAAATCTCTTTAAAATTAAAAAAATGTATAATCCATTTTGCAAAATTAATTATTCTTATTCTGCCAGCTGGTGACTTCGTCAAATTTGGCTTTACGATGGCTTTCACAACGACACTTTTGGCTTGGGGAACGGTCAACTGGTCAGAGGCTTATGACGCCGCCGATCAACTGGACGAAATTCGCAGAGCTATCAAATGGTCCACTGATTATTTTATCAAGTGTCACGTAAGCGAAAACGTGTTGTACGGACAAGTGGGTGATTTTCCCATTGATCATATGTTTTGGGGAAGACCCGAGGAACTGAATACTACTAGACCAACCTACAAGATTGATGCAGAACATCCTGGTAAATACTTCTCTTTTCAAATAATTCGTTTACTTATCAGGAGATAAATAGAGAAACAAAAAAATACATTAAAAAATACTATTGCCTTTAATTTTTATTGTATAGCGTATCTATTTATGAGAAAATCATTTTTTTTATTTTTTTGACACTCTGGACTTATCTTTTCATCATCTTTTCATCATTTATTACATTTATTACATTTATTATATATTGCAATCTTATAAAATATTCTATTTATTATTATTATCAGGTTCTGATCTCGCTGGCGAAACGGCCGCCGCTCTCGCAGCTTCGAGCATTGTCTTCAGCAGCGTCGATCCTGAGTATAGTGCCAAGTGTCTCGAGCACGCAAAGGATTTGTACAAATTTGCTGACGTTTATCGCGGTCTTTATCACGAAGCGATACGCGGTGCTGAACGTTATTACGAAAGCACGGACTATGGCGACGAACTAGCATGGGCCGCAATTTGGCTTTTCAAGGCGACCGGAGACACGAAGTATTTCGACGACGCAATACATCATTACCAGCACTTTCATCTAAAAGAGCGGCCGAACGCATTCTTCTACAATAAGAAAGTCGCTGGTATTCAGGTGAAATTTCTTATTTATATATTATTTTTATTCTAAGATAAATGATAAAAGGGCGCCGAAATACTTAAGAGAAGAATATTTAGAGATAATAAAAAAAGGGAAAGAGATGAGAGCACATTAGTAAAATTGAGATGCAAGAATATGGAAAAGGCTAAGGCCCGATTGCACCAACGTTATTTTGACTTTAAGCAAGGCTTAAGACTCTCTCTATCTCTGTCTGCTTTTCGTTTTTAAAACGAGACAGAGAGAGTTTTAAGTTTTGCTTAAAGTCAAAGTAACATTGGTTCAACAGAGTCTAATAAATATTGGTTAGAGGAAGACGATGAAGAAGAGATATGTATTCTGCAGAAAAAGTAAAGATAATATAGAACACTATATAAAGGAATGTGAGGTAGGTTCGATGAACTATAGGAGAAAAATAGGGAGAGATTATAGATAGGCTATGGGGGGGGAGGGGAGAACTAGATGAGATTAAAGGTATAGAGCCATAAAGAAATTGTGGAAAAAGAAAGATGATATTGAGAAGAAAGAGAAAAAAGGATAAAGAATTAAGTTCAGTAGATAGGAGGTCTAAATAAGTAAAGAAGGCAGAGGCAGAGGCGAGAAAGTGAAAAATGGCCATAAGAATAAAGCTATGAATAAGTAGGAGCAGAAAAAGAAAAATATAGTAAGAGGAGAGGAAACTATAGATAAGTGAATTTAAAGATTAGGTAAATAAATGGATAATTAAAGAAGATACGCGGAAGGAAGATATGGATGAATAAGTAAGGAGACGAAAATTATAAACCAATCTCCTTCTTGATTATATTATACGCTGAAATTAATAAACTATTCTATTATTTTATTCTAGTAACATATATTAAATAACATATAATAAATGTAATTTATTTGTTGCGAAAGAGTCATTCTCCGACAAATTTGGCTTTAAAGCAAGGAAAGTTGAAACTAATTCGCTAAATGGTGATATCTTGTTCTCTTCTGATATCTTCAGCTGGAATACATTTTTCCTCGCTTTTTGTAGGTACTGCTAGCCGAATTGACGGGACAGTCCGAGTACCAGAATGCCACCCGCGCATTCTGTGACTTCTCAGTACGACAGCAGAAACGTACACCGAAAGGCCTTTTGTTTATCGATAAGTCCGGTACTCTTTCTCATGTTGCTAATGTAGCCTTCGTCTGCCTCGTAGCGGCGGACTTCCTGGAAATCGGCGAATCACAGGAATATCGCCAATTCGCCAAAGAACAAATTGATTACATGCTGGGTGGAGCCGGTAGACCTGAGTTTTATTCCAAAATATCTAAAAAAGATAAAATTCACCCATTTAATTGCGACGGATTATTTTATTCATCATGCAATTTCTATTTCTTCATTTTTATTTTTTATATCATTAACTCATTATTAATTATTATGTCATCGATTAAAAATTTTTATATTGTTAAATATAAATAAAATCTAAATATTTGGCAATCAATAAATGCACGATAACGGTAACAAATTTTTGGATGGAAGTTTATCTTCTTTTTTTTTCATTTTCATCATTCATTGAACTTATGTCTTTTTTTTTTTGTAGGAAGAAGTTACGTAGTCGGATATGGTAAAAATTCACCGAAACAGCCGCACCATGCTGCCTCTTCTTGCCCCAATAGACCGACACCCTGCGGATGGCAGGAATTTAGCAAGAATGCCCCAAATCCACAAATCCTTTATGGTGCTCTAGTCTCCGGACCAGATGAGGTGGATTTGTTTAAAGATTGTCGCGAGGAGTACGCTTATACAGAAGTCACACTGGATTACAACGCTGGTTTCACCAGCGCACTCGCTGGACTGTTGCAGCTACAATTGAAAAGCGTGGACAGAAGATCATTAAAAGAAAATTAAATTGTAGTTAATCGACGCGTAGACGAATTTCTAAATGTAAAATCGAGGCTGTCGTTGATTCTTTGCAATGATATACAAAGAAACTTTTTAATATTAAAAACTACATTTTGATTTAATTTTACAAGATTTATAACATTAATTTTATATTAGAAATCTAATTATTGTATTATATATACAAATATATATTATATATATAATTTTTATCTTTGAATTATATATTGAACTATATATTGATATATGTCGCAATATTGCGATAAAACCAAGTGTGTGATATAATAGCTTGAGATAATAAGTATGTGAAGTTTTACGTCATTAATCTTAAGAACGTTTTAAATTTAATGCAAACTTTTTAAATCTAAATTTATATAGAAAATTATAATATTTTATCTAATGTTGTTAACAATATTCAATTAAATATAAATTGATAATATTGAAGTAAAAACTAAAAAATAACATGCGCGTATAAATAAAGCATCGTTTTGTTCAAAATGATAGAATTTACTTTATTTGCAGTCCGACAAAGACTACAACAATTCAAAATACATTCAAGAAAATGGTAACACGAGACTTTTTCAGAAAAGGTAAAAAAAACCTTACCTTTTTAGGTAAAAAAAAATACTTAGATAGTTATTGATCGTAAATCTATGCGCGAACTGAGCCACGCGTAGTACAATATTGATCGCGCGAACATAAACAAAAAAATAAAAAAACAAATGGTAAAACTTTTAAAAAAACAATAAATACTTGATATTTTTCTATGATATTTGCGTGTTAAACAATATTTTTTTCATTTTTAAACACAGATTGCTTAACAATTTAACATTGACAAGATACTATTATTTTTTCTGTTCTTATCATTCTCTAAAAATATTTAGGAGAATGAATCATCAATTTATTATTATTTCTCATTATTGCTTAATACTTATGCAAAATATTGTTTCCACGTGCATTGATTCACGTCAATAAGTCAAAGCACAGTGTGTGTTTTGTTACTTGACCAGGCTGCGTATAGTATCTTGTTTCTTTAATAAATCATATTAAAATGACATACGTATCATCGAAGAAGCAAGTTTCCGCGAAGTGAAGACTTTATCTATAATTTTATAAAAGAAACACAATGAGATAGCAGCGAGAATTTGCGCTGTATAAATTCCCAAACTTTTCAAAAATAAATATGCAAAAAATAAAGCAAGATTTATTGAATATTCGTGATTTAAGTCTCTTCTTTGATCCGTGTAACGTGACAATAGATTTGTTCAACAAGACATAACGTTAGCGACAATTGCTGCATATTGACAATATGCTTTTCCATGCGGTGGCTCGTGTTACAATCGCGCTTACATTACACGCTATTATGTTTATAGCTGTATCGGCACAAGTGCACCATCGCAATTGAAATAAGCGAATGCTATCGGTACTATCGTCATGCGACGCGAACACATTTTTATCTGCAGTTTAATGTGGCTTTTTCTCTTTCTGTTTTCCGAAAGATTTTTTACGAATGGTAAGTTTAATCCCAAATTCTATAAAACTTTATATATTGTACTTCGCTTTTTCAATTGCGATAATTTATGACAGGAGAATCAGGAAACGACTATTCGAAAGGATGCGCTCATCTACATTGTGAGAATGGTAGCCGTTGCATAAAACGAAGATTTTGGTGCAAGGATCCTCCTTGTCCTGGCATGTTATATTGCTCTAAATCGAGAAAAGGTGAGAGAAAACATTCAAGAAGATAATTGCTTTGTCTTCCGTCAGATAGAAATTTGCTTATTTTAGACTTCAATATTTATTACGATTTCTTCTGTATTTATATCTCTGTCTTTATATCTTTTTTACATTTAATTAATTTAAAATACTTCACGCAGTATTATATATTGTAAGTGTAGATTTTTTTAAGTCTGCCTCTTTTTAGAATCTTTGAAGGGACCTCTGACGTGCGACACTGTTCGTTGCAATAGAGGACACGTGTGCATCATCAAAGTTCGGGGATGTCATTGGGGTAGAAGTAATTATTGTATACTAACAAATTAATTATTTCTAGAAATGTAAATAATATATAGATTCTTCAAAATTTTCTCAGAATGTAAGCAACAATTAGCGCGCTGCGTATTGGAAAAAGAATATTACGAGGGTGCAGCTTCCTGCGCCGGTTTCGAATGTCCATCAGGAAAACGATGCATCTTGCGAGAAATCTTCTGTGTTAGTCCACCGTGCAAACTGATCAAAAGTTGCGAAAATGAAGAAGGTTACATCAAGCAAAGGAATAATTAATTTAATTCATTCTCAATCATACTTTTACTTATTTTTTCATAAACTTTTTACGTGTTTGAAATTATTTAAATATATGTTACATATTTAAAATATAAAATAATTTTTTAAACATATTTTGGAGCGATGAGTTTGAATCTGTCATTAGAAAAGTTCCATTAGGTCGAATATGTATATAACTTTGTAACCTAGTGTTATTAATTAATATTAAATATAAATAACAACTTTAATATATATATACATATATATTTTTTTTTAGAATATAAACCGATTTAAAATGCCTGTTAGAAAGTTGTTAAATTTGTATATAATGAAAATAAATAATTATTATTTTCAGATGTGCAAACTTGGTTCGACCAATGCAAAAGTTTGAATTGTGCCTCGGAATACGAGTGTTTCTTGCGAAGGCCAGAAAACAATTGTCGCAAACCGACATGCACACATACGCCTGATTGTACACTCACCATTGGTTCGTTGTGATGATAAAATGATCAAACTATGCTTACGCATTTGTAACAATAATGATCCGTAATTCTTTTCGTAGAAGATGAGCTAATCAGTAAATATTGCTATGGTTGGATCTGTCCACGAGCGCAAAAATGTGTAGTGCGAATTGTAGGTTCGTGTAAGGGTTTCAATTGTATCATCGAGCGATCGTGTCATGCATCTTCAATCTCGTCCACTAAACGCAACATGAATAACGAGGTATATCTCTTCAAAAAAATCGCATTATAAATTGCATAAGACTCGCTGTTAATTCTAAAGAGCAAATTTTTCAAGAAAATTCGCGAAAAAAAAGCAAAGAATGTCATATAATCAAATTAATTTATTTTTATCTTGTATTCTGACGACTTTTCCGTCGAAACAAATTCGTGAGTTCACTAAAAATAAACTAGAAAGACTCTGACAGAAACAAATGTAGGTCTCTAAGCAATCTTCAACCAGAAGAACCTTGGTGCAAGCCGAGAGGGAATTAATTCACCAAGCGCTAGAGAGAAGAACGAATTACCCGACTACAAGCAAAAAGGTGGAGGATTTTCTTATATGAATGAATTAAAAATTACAAGAAAATTCAGTTCCGAAATTGAAAGACTCGATTATGATTTCAGCCGACTTTACCAATGACTTCAACGAAGAAACAAAGTATTCACTATACAACTTCTGTGTAAGTTAATTTTCCATTAACACTAATTATTATTTTAAAGATATGAAGTGATTATTCTGAAAATGTTTTTCTGTTATATACGTTTCTTTATATAGAAAGCAAGGGACAGAAGTTTCATTGATTCATCAGCAAATTGCAACAACGAAACCAAATTTAATCACAGAATCATCAACGAATGAACTATATTTGACGTTGTCTTATCCTCGATTGAATCACAATAAACTCTTTCCAATCAACGATGACAAAGTTTTCCAGGTATTAATAAATCTATACACAGATAATTTCAGCGGTATTACAGCAACATTGTAAATGTTATAGAAATATATCTAAATTCTTTAATTAAGAGTTCAACTTCTCCGGTAACTGTACCCGCTGATGGGAAGACCGAGTCAACTGTGTCGCGTGATACAGATAAATTAGAAACTCCAAAAAAAATCTACATAACAACCAATGAGTTCCCTCTTCCCATGATGTTAGAGGACATTAACTTCTTTGACCAAGGTTATCCGATCTGGATAAAGAACAATCCATATCGTTCGTGGAAAGTGAAGGACGAAGAGGGATGGAGATACCACGCGCCACAAGAACCGTACAAGATTTTATTGCCGCCGTATGAGCCGGTGATTCTTGTCGAAGATATAGGAAAACGAGGACAATTTCTACCATTCTTCACTGATGCATTCTTCACTGACTTTTTTAGCGAAGCTGCTTCAATACCTTTGCCAGAAATAACACCTGCAGGTATTTATGTTAGTTGGAATTGTATTCTGATCAATGAACATTAACATCGCAGAAAAAATTTGAGTTTAAAAATTTGAGTTGCAAGACATATTGTCACAAAATCCATTAAAGACAAATTTATGAAACATAATTTAGAGTTGATTTTTCTTCTACAAAAACCATTTCTAAAGTATAAATCACTTTTTGCAATTTTTTTCACCTTTAAAGTGTTGTGTATCTTTATAACTGAACTTTAAATTTAAGTTGTGTCATAAATGTACTTAAAAGTAATTAAAGAATGTAATTTATTAGCTTCATAAAGAGATTTCTTTTCATAAAGAGAGATCTTTTATAGCAGATTACTAATTAATGATTGCCAATTTAAAAATTAATATCTGGATATTTTATATTCTGCATAATTAAATTATTTAATTTTTTACGATTTAAATTATTTGAGTTATTAAAAATAATTTATTTAAATAAGATTTAAATAATGTTTTTTTTTTAATTCGTTGTATAAATGTTACTATTTTAGATATTGGAAATTCGAAGGTGGATAATACTTCGATGATTACAAATGAGACTATTGATTATACAAATATAAGTTCTACAATTGCCAAGATAGAAAACATCAAGACGAATCATACCGATGAATCGCTCAACGATCATAGGAGTTCCCCAATAACGGAAAAAACAAGCACTGCTTCGCTAAATATTCATAACAAAGAACTAGATAATTCTAATGTGAGTATGCTTCAAAGGATTATCTTCCAAATGTTTGTACACACAAGGACATAAAGGCTTAGCCATCTGAAGTTGCGTATCGAAGAAGGTATATGAGAAGAAAAGACATGAGGATTGAAAAGGCATAAAAAGATATATCTAGATATTTATGTCCTCGTGTGTACTTTCAGAATTAGTGTGGCAATTGTTTATTCCATCATATTCAAACCATACAGGACTATGAGTGGCGACCGTGGTATATGATTCATAATTAACTGGAACGAAATGAACCTCAGTCAAGCCGCGAACAAGGATCCAAACGAAACATCACTGATGTCGCAATTGATAATCTGTGTAAAAATGATTCTCTAAAGTTATGCTAGATCGCATAATGTTGAAACAAAGTAACGATAAATGCAAGAAAATAAAAATAAGAATAACTGAGTATCAAAATTGTATAAGATTGTATATAAAAAAATTTCGAAGCTTTACTATATTGCAAAAAAATAAATTTAATTTACCTAAAAATAAAATAGAAGAAATCTCGCATACGTTTATGTAATTATAATATCTGGCTTCACTGCAACGTGTCATTGATGTTTACAGATACAGAAATGATACGTTGGTCGACATAGAAACGTCCGCGAGAGGCCAAATTACGGACGAGAAGAAGAGTCGAGTTTCTGAAATGCGATACGTAGACGGGCGCAATAAAAATATTGCGACATTCAGTCCACCTGCTTCAACGAGGCAAAATGATTATAGCACTCGGGATGAGAAACTCCACGGTCTCGCAAATTACCCTTATGACACGATATCCGTTCACTATGTTGGCAAATCAAGTCGCGAATATGGAGGAGCTTCTCTAAGCTTTTAAACGTTGAACGGGGAAGGAAATACAGGTATTCGCGAACGATGTCTCGATATTTTTATCTTATTCTGGATGACTTGTGAAACCGGTTCCGAATTTCAGTTTCACAGCGTGATATGCTGATCACGTTTCTTCTTGACGAAGACTTATTCGACAACGAACGTGTAGTAATGTCTCTCCTATGAGGCTTATTATATCCGTAACAATAATATGAGAAACCGAACAGTACACGACGAATATTCCAGTCACGAGAACTATAACAATATCAGCGGCATCGAAATGACGGGATCGTGGGAAACGGTACCTTTCTGATCGAGTGCAAAATTTATGAGTGTTTTTTTATTATCTCTCTGTCGTCGCCTTTCCTTTTCCTTTCCATAGCGTGATTTTAGAAACGAAATCGTTCGTTTGTAAATATACTTCCGCGATTATTAGCTCGGGGGTAGAGTAAACAAATATACAATGGCAGCGAGAAATTGCAGTATTTCGCGTACTTTGGAGAACGGTGTCAGGCAACGTGTCTGAGGAAAATGAATTTATCCCTCACGAATATCGTTTCTCTTCGCACTTGGATAATATCATGAGATAATCAAATATATTATATTAATTATATTATCCTTAGCTTGTCTTTCGACAAACTTTTTTGCAGATTCAATTAGGAATTTCTTTCGGACAATACGTATATTGTATTGACTAAATTAAACAATTATCTAATTCGATTTACTATGATACTTGTTCCTTAATCATATTTAATTTGAGATAGTATATTATTCTTAGAACATGATAATTTAATCAATACAGACAATAGTCATAACGATTACTTAATTAATGACTACATTCTGTATCGTAGAGAATTTCTTCGTCATTAAGAGATCTTCAGCGGAAGCATCCGCAATAATTTAATTAGTACCTACCGGTCCCTCCACCGCGCGTCATCGCGAAATTTCTTTGTGATGCTAACTAGTCGCAGCACGTAAATTCCCGAAAGTATTCCTGCGAGTGCGAAGCAGAAGAGAGAAGGTAGAAAAGTGGTGGAAGTTGTCGAATATTACCACAGTGATGGGGAATGGTACCGGTCTAGTCGGCCGTTGATCACGGTACCGCGAACTACGCTTACTCTCTCGTGCGTCTTTTCCGCGCTGTGCTGCGGGCTGTTTCAGTCGAGCAATTATCTTTCGAAGGATACGGGGTGACCATCCTTGAAAGGTGAGTTCTTTGCCTTTTCTTCTCTACTCTGGTCTTGATGAGACCTACCAGACCTTGAAACCGGTGTAATTTTGGCGAGTCAAGATTTGGAGTCAAGATATTCTGTCTGGAGACTGGAGATGATTCCTGTATCTCTTCATTCGTGACATCAAAACCAGGACGGTTGATGCGATCCTCCGTAGTTTCCATATTTATGAAATATAAATATAAACTATTATTATCAATGAAATTATTAATACATTTTTTTCATTTCTTATTATCATTAAGAAAAAGAAAAAGGAAGAGGAAAGGAACTAGAATTGTTACTTTAATTAATTAATTTTGATTGTTTTACATAGAACCAGCATATAAAATGAAATATTATATCAAACTGAGATAAAGTTTTCCAAGTAATACTCATTCAAAATTCTAACGACTATATAATTATTTCCGTGCATATGCAAGATATATAAAAATTAGTTAGCGAATTAATTGATAAACATCTATTAATATTAACCAAAGAAAGAAACGTCATATATAATGTCTCATAAAAATTTATAAATATATGTATGAATGTTTGTATATTTACATATCTGACAGGAAAATGAGTGAAAGGTCTGAGCCTCGTCTTCTTGTCTCTGATATGTGTTACACGCTTGATGCATTTTTGCAACTAGAAATTGTGTCTCTGTGCAATAGTTAATTACTTGTTAAATAAACGCAGTGATAAATATGCAGGATTAATTCGCTGATAATCGTATCTTGGCATTAAGCGTCGTCAGACGCTTACCTCTCCCTTTAAATGCATAATTGTCACTGCAGCGACAAGTACGATGTCCTTGTCGAATATGCATAATTCGTTTTTTTAAGTCTATCAGTAGAATATGGTATTCGCTCGCAAGTCCTTGAGAGACTTATGCGTGCTTAAAGATCGTATCGTCAATCACGTGAGAGAAATGCACGAAACGTGATGATTCTTATCCGTTTAGCAATGTCAAATTAAAGTTATATAAAGTTTTAAGATTATATCATAATCACCTTGCTTTCTGAAGTGTGATTGTATATAATTATAAAAAAAAAAAAACTGATAACGGTTTGTCATATAGACACAGTAATTTTTCCATTAAAATCGTAAGTCTTGAAAATTATAAAGTACGTATGACATAATTGTGTTTAATATATTTGCCTATGCCTAGCAGCTTTGCTCGGCTGTGTTCATTAAAAAACAATTAAGCAGATATCCGGCCATATATAGAAGAGAATAATTTTTAATCGCATTGAATCGCAGTGAAATTTGCTATTATTGAATATCTCATAATTATATAAAAATTAAGATTATTCAGAGTCGTAAGTTCAGATCTTACGCATAAGACATTGCACAACATTGTAATCAAATAGCTATCACATCGAAGATATCCGTCGAAACTGGATACGTATATAATAAGGTGAATATAGCAAAATAGATGAAATTGACATGGAAAATCACGTCAGGAAATATGTAACGTAGCGTGTAATATCTACATTTTCACGCTCAAGAATCAAGAAGCATATAGTAGTAATTTGCGGGAAATTATACTCTCTTTGTGGCGATGTTGCGATGTTGTTAACGCCAACTTTAAGCATTTTTAAGTTACATAAATTCCAATTAACACCCTCTCAAGTGCTACGATCTTCTCGTGCAAACAATCATTACACGTCAAATTGTGCTCTGTTATGCGATTGATCGTATATGTTACGTGTGTAACACATTAGATAACAATATATGAATAACAATTAGAAAAAATACAAACATCAGTTAACGTTCCTGAGAAATCAGACGATAATTTCACGCGGTCGAGAAATTGAAGCATGTACAAATCATAAGTATATTCTCCCCTCTATTTTACAGGTAAAAATTTTTAAAAATCTCTTGAAAAAGTATTTAAAGCTTAATTATATCCAGAACGAATTATATCATCAAGAGATGAACGTAAGAAATGAAGTGCGAATTCTCTAGGGAGAGGAAAGACTTGTTTCGTTATCATATATATTAATTTACATATTGCGATAATTTACGTGGGAAAATGGGAAGCGAGATGCGTTCTTCAGAATTGCTAGGATTATGAGCAAGCAATTTCTCAATGAGTTGATGCTCAGATGCACGCACATAAGATAATGACAAAAAAATGAGTAAAATTATATTTCCATTACTTTAAATGATCGAAAATTACTTTGTTTATTCGTGATTTTCCATTTCGAGCGAAAGATATCCAGCGAACATGGATGACGTACTAATTAATCAGGAAGTGCATTAACGTCGAGTATGTAAAATAAATAATAAGAACGATCTATAATAATAATTAAACAAAAATATCAAGCGTTCCATTTTGAAAGTAGTATAAATATAATCAGACAAAAGTATATCACTTGATTTTATTTTACAATTTATATCCAGCGATAAAATTTAAATAAATATTATTAAAATTTATTTTATATAAATGATATAAAATTAGATACGTTTCGTTTAAATCATTTGATACAAATCTAGTACGATGAAATCATGATTCAGAAATATTATTAATTATATACCATAATTTGTAGAAATCATCATTTCCGATATTTTTAAAATTCTAATTTCACTGAATCATTATTATACTATTACCTTTGATAGAATAGACAAATAAGACGAACTCATTTCCTACTTTGACTGTTTCGAGTTTTGTTTATTACATTCAGCTTCAGGTACATTATGGTACTTTAGTACGTAATTGCAGGAGCCCGAATTTGCCTATAGCTACTCGAGCGTATATACGTTCCTTCGCAAAGCCTCAACACCGTTACGTTCACTGACCGAGAACCGCGCACTGTCTCGCCGTCGATTACGAAAGTCATGCTATTTTACAGCTTCTCCTTCTGTTTTCTTACGTCCTTACCGTGTTGTGTCAGGTACATCCGTGCAATACAACCTGTCAAATATAATTTCGTTAATAAAAGCCGTCTCTTATTAAAGATCTATCCTTTATCTATCTCGTTAAAAATCCATTGAACTGATATCAGACTTTAAACGCAGAGTTCACTGATCTGTCAAAAAAAAATTTAGCTTTATCTTTCTCCCTAATAAATTTGAAAATTTGTGGAAATTCTCTGAATGTGTGTCTAGAAATTAGAAGAAATAATCCACGTATTAATCTTTAAAATATAATAAATATTATTTAGAAAAAATCATTACAATATCGACCTTGGCATCTAAATCTTTCCCATACAACACACTTTATTTGCAGGACATTTTAGAAATATCCTTAGGACAAAGAACATCTCCTGGATACGTTTAAGATGTCTCTCGGAGGTCTGTGCTGTATAAGTTTCCTTTTCAATGAAGAGAAGACGTACAGCGTGTTGCTCTCTTTGTTTTTCCACACCTCTCGTGCTTTCTCACCGAAAATTTAAGCGTCGCGTGAATGCAATCCCTACATACAATCGTTACGCTTCACTCGCGGGTTCGCGGTAGATATTCGGCGCGTTACGCCTCACGCGATTATGTATCCGACTGTGAGAAATGTCGGAAGAGGAAACACGCGGTGTAAAAAAAAAGTTTCACCGTTGTATACACGTACGCGCGCATACAAGGCAGGCGCGCATTCCGAGAGAGACGCAATGCAAGAGAATTACATTGTAGAAAGCACGTGCGGCGCGCCTCCCGCGAAGAGGAATCGCCTCTCAATCGCGCCGGTCGCTGGTCGAACGGAGCTGAATGAATTTACAGCCGGACACACTCTATTACGGGACTGTTACACCGGTTACACGTTCGACAGTGACGACGACGGCGACGTCGGTATGCGCACTCTCACTCTCGTTCGGGCCTTTGTTCTTCACGGAACGGAGCTCAGCTTCATGGTCCGCCGACGATGCAGCGGATCGAAGATAAACGCGCTCTCGGCGGATTGCATCGGTGCATGACTGGTTAAGGAATATTGCTTATTGTTAGATGCTTCGGCTCCTTTGCTGAATGAAAATATTATTTTCGCAGATCACACGCTTTACCTTTCAACCGGACAATTAAGAGCAAGTTTGCGTTGTATGTTTCAACACACTACATTAACATGGAGTATTCATGTATTGTTTACGCGTTGACTTTACACGAATTGTTTTCGTGCAGGCAATAAAATATGTAAATTATCATAAACGGGATAATACAGAAAGAAATAATTAAATTCTATAATTATTAATATCTGACTTTTATATTAATAAATAAAGATGTATAAGCGAGAAGAACAATTTAATACTAAACTTGTATACTTTTATATTTTTAATGTTATATTATTAATGTAAAAGTCAAATATATTAGCAATCAAAAAACTTAATTATTTATTTTTATATTTTATTATTTTTATTATTATGTATAATCAGTACAACGACAAAGAATATACTCTTTAATGATCCAGATTGTTTACACATCAAACATAGTTTACATAGTTAATATTCTATGACATAGTTTACACAGTTAATATTCTCGTAGATACAGATTATTATATTTCATGTAATCCTGATTATAGTACTATTAATATCGCCGTCGTGATTATTGAGAAATAATCAATTTAATCTGTATAATCATGTTACAGCAAAACGCGATGACAGTTACCGTTATCTTCGAGGTACAAGAAGATATATGATTATCACATAATTTACGTAATCACAGTAATACTCGTAAATTAAATGGTCATGCATTTCTGCGGTTAGTTATTGTAGTTGATCGCGCGGCTTGAAGAAACGTTCTCAAATAAAATACGTTCTCCTTGGAATTAACGCGCGACAATTTGATAAAGTCCTTTCCCCATCGATATCGACATACGTTATTTACTATCGTGTAAAAGAACCGAGAACGAGCTCAGTTTCAATCAGATCCAAAGTAAATTGTTGTCTTACGGTGAGGCTTTTCGGTGTTGCAGCACCGGTAAAGCCTATTTACGTCGAGTCACTACGTGATTGATGAAACACTAATAATGTTTCTGTTCCAGATGAGTTGCAATTGTCCGTTGACCACGTCCGCAGGACCCACTTTGGCCTCGACATGCGGTGGCTCGTCCTTCATGCTCTTTATGGGGCTTCTCGAAGTCTTCTTGCGTAGTCAATGCGACCTCGAGGACCCGTGTAACAGACCTGCGCCACCGAGCAGCGTCAATACGAGGTAAATTTCATACAAAGACCGTTCTGGACGAGGCGATTGCCAAATATATGGGTCACGAGTAACCGAAAAGGAGACCCTAATCAACCTCGCCTTTGATGATTTCTTTCGATGGATTGCGCGATAACAGCAATCAATTCGTCAGGAATTATTATCCACGCGTATAAATAAGTACATGATGTGTATCTCTCAGTGCGACAATCAAGTGTGCGTTAATGACATAAAATGACATCGAAGGAAAATGAAAAGGATTTTTGACATTTGATTATTATATTAACTAGATATTCAGTCTCTATATTTTATTTTTAACTTTAATTTATTTAATAGTCGTGTTGACTAATTTTTATCATGTGAACAATTTTTTTACTGTTAGGGCAAAAACATGACAAAGTATCGGTCGACTATTGTGTCATTGATGGAAAGTCCATGTGACAATGTATGTAACCATTGCATGCACAATACATTTTTAATTGTTTTCCATAAACGACACAGTCCACCGACGTTTTAGATCTGTTCTTTATCGATAATTCTCTCTGAACTGTTTCTTTCATTTCATCTTATTGCACTGTTGTGCACCAGTTTAAAGAGTTTTTCGATAAAGAATTCTTTTGTTACGTGCTCTTGGCCTTACTAATGATTTATTTCAAATGTTTCTTTATAAATTGCTTTATCTATCCAGAGCAGACAAAAAAAAGCAGTAAGCGTTGGCTAATCACAAAGCTCGTAAAGCCATAACGTAAGCAAATCAAACATATTGATTTTCTTATTGCTTATGTTTTGCTACTTAAGTCTTTTGTGCGATTATCTTTATTATCGATTCTGAATGGAAATTATGTTCACTGTGGCTACGTTTAGCAACTCAATAGCGCTCTAATTAGTAACATTTTATCCTTGTTCTTTATTAAATATTAAAAAAGGGCAAATTATACAAGCATTGTGAACATCAAAATGAACATAGCTTATATATTGGATGTTAAGCATTCCATATTTATGACATCTTCTTAGGTGATAGGAATTTCCTGTCTTATGATCGACATCTTTGTGTTATTTATGAATGTCTTAGTCGTTATTGTTATTTTTATTGCTAAATTAATTTACTTATTAAAATATTACTGCGCCCTAATAAACTACACGTCAATTTGCATTTACCGTCTTTACTCTTTAAAACTTTTGAAGTGAATTCTCATTAAGAATGAAATCTCATTGTTACAGATTGAAAAGTGTGCTGTTCTTTTCAAGACATTCAATTTTCACTTTTTAGAGTTAGATTCTACTAAAAATTTAGAGAATGTACATTAATTCTTGTCGAATATGGCAAATCCTATTTTACATTAAAAATGAAGATTAAGAGCTCGGAAAATAGAAACGGCGTATCTCTCCCGAGAGTTCATGAATGTCGAAAACACACACATTCATAAATCTCATTGAGTCGCTGAGTCACGAATGTCCGTCGGATTGTCAATTTGTCCAACTATCGCGGTTATCAGTAATTACCCGGATAGCGGGAACGCGAGCTTAGGAAACTCACAAACACGATTTCCTTGTTTTCGTATCGTTTGATCGTCCGATCGAGGTCGGGAGATACGGTCGCGAGGATGAATCTACCACCATCCCGAGTGGTTTCCTTATCTCGCGACCGCATTGTGCGCGCACTGAATGTAATAACACGTCGCACCTTTTTTCTTTCCCGCATGGGATCTTTTGGCACTTATCGATGAGAGAGATTTCTTCCGCTAAGAAGAAGAGAGCATCGCATCCGCGGGAAGTGTTCCGCGACGAATCCTAAATACGGATATACGATTGTGTCGCGGGCACACGTTACTCACGTAATATCACAGAAGTACTACCGGCGCTTTTCTCGTTTCTCTCTTTCTTTCTCGGAAAAACACGAGCATCCATGCACACCTCCATCCGCGAGATCGTTGTTACGCGCGTACGTAATATCGCGGGCCATTGTTCTGATGCATCTCTTCGTTGCGTCACATCTCGTCGCCTCATCGACGCGCACTTGCGCTGCACACACCGACGCGAAAGGAGCAGAGAGCTCTTTTATACTCGGGAAAGAATTAGCTACGAAAGAGATGTGTCGAACCACACACAGAAAAATATCAATTTACTGCTAAGAAAAAATTAAATTTATTTTTTTTCTTTTAAGTAACGGTTATCTTTTTATCAAAGAGAATATTTTCTTGATAATAATCTATAAAAAAATATACTTATTACAAAATTTTAGAAAAGTTCATTATTATGTACTCAAAACAAGAATTTATTTTCTTTCGAAGAATATTTATAAAAAATTAAAATAAATAAAATTTGATCGAAGAAACGAACTTTTCATAATGAGCAAATCGAATTTGTTTTAATTTAATAAACGTGATTGAAGTATTAAACTTACTAGGATTCAGAATATATTTTCAATAAATTTAATGCTTCTGATGAATTTATAATAGATTTGTGGATATATAAACTTTTGAGATATTTGAAATAAGTAATTATTATTTGCATATTTTTCTGTGCACGTAAAAAAAGAGCATATAAAAATAAGTTTTTATAAAACGCGCGAGACAAAATTTATTTTCATTTATTTGATTTTTAAGTGTCTTTGATTTATTTATTTGGTCCTTAAATATATGATGTTCCGCAGAACCTTTACACCTTAATTTTGCAATTGATATTCAAATGTATAAGAACTTTGATTATTAAACAATACTTAGTCGTTTTATATGCTTTTGTCTTATCTTATCATGCGCGAAGGACACAAAATGATCTGCAAAACTGCGACCGTCAAAAAAATGGAAAAGAACGCAGAGTGTGCAGTGAAATTATTACTTGTGTCATACAAGAACCTGTTTAGCGAAGATGAAAACAGGTTCGATAGCACTTATGCTTATCTCGACTGCCATAGCTTACATAGCTGCTGGCACTTAGACAATCTGAGTTATTTGACATATTCATTCCAGTAAATTTACATAAGAATGAAACACTGTGTATTAATGCATTTCCACAGATATTGGTGATTTCTTAATGTTGGATTTTGACAGAGTGATAACAACATAACGATATATAAGACAAAATGATGTAAGAGATATTATATTTGCATTATATATCTCATGCTCAATATTCACACACTGAAGAGGACATTAATAAAATAAATTAAATTAAATTAATTAAGATATGTAAAACGTGTAAGATATGTAAGAGATCCATATCTCTCGTGAGAAACGTAATGAATTCGCTAATTAAAGAGTCAATTTTTAAAAAAATAATTTGATACTTTCTATTAATTACTATTGTTAACTACTTATATTTTTTTATGTTTTATTTTTAAGATCTTCATCTTACAATAAGTTTATTTTCTATCATTGAAATCTATACTTTTGAAACTTAAAATAAATAAATAGATATTTGATATTTGGCGAAAGCGAGACAGAAAGTTCTGGTGTAGTCTTATGTAAAAATAAAAAACAGACCTAATGTTTATGATTTAAAAATCACATATCCCTCGGCAATTTTATAAGGAAATTGGTTCCAGATTAATCAAAGACACAATTGAGAGGAAGATGATCAAGGAGATTCTTATAGTATTTTATTATGTGTGTACGCCGTTCTATCAAGTCTCGCGCGTAAAAGTATGTCATTGTCCCTCCTAGCATATAAATACAGGCACGCCGTGGCATTCAACTGAGAACATATACCACGGACACTTACGATCGTCCCGAGCAACCTCCTGAGAAACCCGCCTTTCGCCCGATGTCGATATGGAGGCATAGCTAGAAGGGAAAAGGATGCTCCGTCCCCAATACAGGGGTCTGCGACGCAAAATCGATCAAATTTACCAACATTCATGATGTAACAATCATTAGTTTACTAGGCAAATTAAGAATCGAATTTAATAAAGTTTAATTAAATCCCAGAACGAGGCTTATTAAGTTATTAATTATGTAACGATAATTATCGATTTAATTATCCAATTAAAGGAAGAAGACAACTTATTATGAGAGAACAAATAATTCAGTTTAACAGTTTAATTGAGTGAGTTTAATTTCTCACTTTTTCCTGTAATAATTTCTCTTTATTCTCTCTAACCCAGTTTTTAATTCGTCAAAAGTAAGGAGATTACTTAATAATATGATTATGCTGATTAACGTGTCTTTCGTTAATGAGTATACATCGTAAATTGTTGAAAATCGAGCAATCATCCGTACTAACACGACATTTTTGCTTTCAAAACGTCATTTATCAAATTAAGGAGAAGGATCGAAATTTCAGTCAACTGAGAGTTTTCATGCTATTCGCGCTTCATTTATCACAAGATCAATGACCCAGCTCGATAATTAAGCACAAAGGTTGAGTAACGAGATATGCATATACCTTGTTGATATCAGAAAAAACTAGACAAGATTTATGATATTTTTGTAATGTAACACTTGTTACACTGTTTTCAAATATATGTAGGCTTAATATTAGGATTCAATATCAACGCGATGTCTCTCCTTCTGTAGATACGATTTCGTAGTGATTGGAGGCGGTAGCGCTGGAGCGACCGTCGCGGCCAGATTGTCGGAAGAGCCGAGATTTTCCGTATTGCTGTTGGAAGCTGGTTTGGACGAACCAACGGGCACCCAGATACCTTCCTTCTTCTTCAATTTCATCGGCAGCGACATCGACTGGCAGTACACCACAGAGAGCGAGGACGAAGCTTGCTTGAACAAGGAACACAAAAAATGTTACTGGCCTAGAGGAAAAGTATGTAGAATTAGATGGAATAAAGGAACGGAAAAAAGAAGAAGAAACCTCGATGTTATAATAATTCTTCTATCAATTTTTTTTTCTCTAATTATTTTTCAATTAAATTCCTGATTTTAATTATATCATGATTAAAAGTTGTATAGATACAAAATGTTTTTATTTTTAAAGGTCTTAAGTATTTTTGTCATTACAGAAAATACGAAATTAATGAATTTTCAATCGAATTAGTGTTAAAATAAATTTAACAATTTATAATTTTGTAGTTTTAATTAAAAATTAGAGGATTTTTCTTTGTCAGAGATACTTGTTATGAAATATCTATATGAAACTATAATATGGAACGGTAGATAACAACGTAAATCCGTAGGTCCTCGGCGGTACGAGCGTTATGAACGGGATGATGTATATGAGAGGCTCGCGCAAGGATTACGATGACTGGGCCAAGCTCGGCAACGTCGGATGGTCCTATCGCGACGTCCTACCGTTTTTTATACGGAGCGAGGATAATCAGCAAGTGAACAGCATGGATTACGGCTATCACGGGATCGGCGGACCACTCACGGTTATGCAGTTTCCTTACCACCCGCCATTAAGTACCTCTCTCTTGGAAGCTGGAAAAGAATTAGGTACATATAATTGCGAGGTTTGAGCGACCACACAATTTTTACCTCTAAATTTATTAAGATATTAATCAGAGAAGATTAATCAAAGAAATCCAAAATGAATTGCTTTTGTCTTACTTTTTCCTTTCTATTTCCGCTTATTAATTTTTAGTTCTCTACTCACCGTTTGTCTTTGTTAGCCTTTAATCTCAATGCACTGTATTCTTAAACGGCGTCTACAATGAGATTTTAGTGTGTAAAATTTAACCTTTAAGCCTTAAGCCGTAAGAAATTAATCAATAGTTAATCAATAGATTATTCTCCTCATTGTGATTGATCAATTTCTCTTACAATTTCTCTTTAAGATTTAAAGTCTTATTAAATTTGACGTAATTAATCTTATTATAGACGCCACTTTAGAGAACTTACTCTAAAATTTCTTATAAACGCATTTATTTATCTATTTATCTATTTATCTATCTATATCAGGATACGATACGGTTGATCTGAACGGACGAACCCACACCGGGTTCGCCATAGCGCAGACCACATCCAGGAATGGCTCACGTCTTTCCACAGCGCGCGCCTTCCTGCGTCCCGCTCGGAACCGTCCGAATCTTCATATAATGCTAAATTCAACGGCGACGAAGATCCTCTTCGACGAGAATAACAGGGCGGTCGGTGTTGAGTTCCTTCATGACGGAATGATGAAACACGTGTCGGTTGCAAAGGAGGTGATCGTGAGCGGAGGTAATTCTACCGATTAATTGAGATAATGAACGCTTCGTCGGCTAGCATTCGTGTGTAATTTAAACCGGTGCAAGTCAGACAAATCTCTATAGACTTCTCCTTTCTCAAGGGCTCGAATATATCGACGGTTCTGTCTTATCTTTGACACGGAAGAAGACACCTCTGAAGAGGCGCAACTACATCCCTATTCATGTCAAGAATATCGCATATATAGAAATCTGTGTTTAGAAACCACGCTCTGCACACATACATAGAGAATCAGTCTCAGTTACTCATCCTTCTACAAATTCTCTCGAGGGATAGTAATCGATTTCTCTCGAACACGGATTGCGCATCTTACGACGTCTTTGGGACTAAACTTCGCAATGATATTGAAGCGATAGAAGACAAATACACGCCGATAAATTCTTTATCTTTAAATACTCTACATTAGATAATAAAATTAAATTTATAGAGATGAAAAAATCATTTTTTTATTTTTATATCTTTATATTTTATAAATATTTAATGAATATTTATTGAATGAATAAATTTGCATTACCTTTTACGTTCACGATATTATCCAGTGATAAAATCTGTAGGATTTATTGTTACATACATGTATTTAGTGTTACTATCGTGCACACAAATCCTTGCAATGAAATCATCACGTTTGTTCAGGTGCCGTTAACTCACCGCAAATCCTCTTAAATAGTGGCATAGGATCTCGAGATGAACTCAATACAGTGGGAGTGCCGGTTGTTCGCGATCTCCCGGGTGTCGGCAAGAATCTTCACAATCATGTTGCCTACGCGTTGACCTTCACCATCAATGATACCGATACTACTCCTCTTAATTGGGCGACCGCTATGGAATATTTGCTCTTCAGGGATGGCCTGATGTCTGGAACAGGTAAGACAGACTGCTCTAAACATTTACTTAAAAATTTTTTAAATGTGTAAGAATGAAATGAGCAATGAAAAATCTAAAGAACTTTCCTAGATAAAAAAGTTGAAAAATAAAAATTAGGAAAATAATAAATTGTTTAACACTGTTAAAAAAATTAATTATATATGTAAAATTAAAACAAAATAATATACACATATGCCGAGTAACAAGACATAACGGATATCTAATTACGTTTTCAATTAAATTACTCGTTGCAGTTTCTTTTGTTTCACATTTTATTAGATTGTGATCAATTTTTGATTTGTTTATTTTTGATTTATTGTATATAATTTCAAAAAAAATATTTAATCAATAACGTAAGTTAAAAAATTTAATTTCTTGAAACATAAATAAAGTTTAGCGTGACTCTCGGAGAAAAATCGAAGAGGCCGTAACTTCGATCCTATCTGTATTTTTACTCTACAAGTATAAGCCATCATTGTCTCGGGTTATTACATTAGAGAACTCGAGACCTGAGATCGAGGGTTTGCAACTCCCTAGGGTTACAATTTCATTGATCGGGGCAACGCGGTCGGGTTAAAGTACTAGTCTGTTCTCCTTCCTGTTTATCATGTCGAAGGATGTTGCATCTCGAAGCGTTAATTCACGGGCTTCGTGCCACGAGCAGTGAAAGTGTATTATTGCACAATGGTCACGTTCGTGGTTCTGTCGACCCGCGATTACGTGACTTATCCCGACCGACAGATCTATTTACCGTCATCCGAATTGCTGACTTGAAGCCGATCATCGTCTCGTGCGCTACTCGTGACTCTCTTCTTATGATTTGTCAATGCGAATTATCTGATCCTCGTACTGTGCCATTATTTCACATACACTCCATACATCATTATGTTCGAATATTATTTCTCAAGCTTTCTATGACCCGAAGAAAAAAACCTAACAACGAGACTGAGAAATACAATGATAAAAAATGAAATGTATAGAGATATTGATATAACATTAAAAATTAATGATTTAACGATGTATGAAATACGTAATATCTGACGTAATTTTTAGACAATTTGTTAATAACTAATCACTTCTTTCATTGCAATATTAATTGTTAATTTAAGTGCGATAATTTATGAGAACATCAGTGATGATACTTAAGGTTGATCATCAATCTAATATTAACAACACTAATTCCTTCTCATAAATTAATATTAACAACTTACCTGCTTTGAATGATTATCATGTACCTTTCTATAAATTACATTTGCATTTCCATTACATTATAGGTTTAATTACGATGCGTGTAAATATCGATTAAAAGAGACTGTATACAGGATTTTTCATAACAAGTAGGCACAACTTTAGAAATTCAGGAAAAATAACACATAAAAATTATATAAACATATGTATTATCTGATCTTGTTTCCGAAAGTTATAGGCGTTTCGTGTTTTATTAATTTTCATTATAAACTGAGTTAGCATTTTAATGCATTTCTGTTTAATAGTAAACATCTTAAATTGATAGTAAACATTTGAATAGAATCAGCTAAACCAACTCAGTTTATAATGAAAATGAGTGAAACATGAAAACGTAATTTGAAAAAGAAGATCATAGACAGAATAAACGTTTATATGAATTTTCCGTGTCCTGAATTAATTTCTAAAGTTATACTCACATATTATTAAAAACGCTCTATGTATAATTAATTGTCAGGGCTTGACAAAATATATCATCAAAATATTTGAAATACAAGATACAAAATACTGTCAATCTTTCGATTTGAAATATAAAGTACAAAATGAAAATACTTCCAAATTTTTTAAAATACGAAATACTTTTTAATCTTTTAATTATATGTATCATTAAATTCCTCAACGATGCCAAGCCCTCAACATTGCACAGAAATTCTATTTCACTTACATTAGAATTTCCAGAAGAGGCAATAACTCTTATTTCTTGATAACACACATTCTTAACGTATACTTTAAACGGGGCTGAGCAAAATACATTATTACAGTATATTTGAAATACAAAATGTTGTACTTTTATGTGCTTCTCTGAAATATAAAATACAAATTGTATTTCAAATATTCTATTTCAAATACAAATATCTAAAATATATCCAGCTCTAACCACAATGAAGTACGAACATTTGTGTTTATTGTGCCATTAATAAAAGAAAGAATGACAGACGCACGAAAAAAAAGTTTATTCGAGATTGTCATATTTACCTTTTGTGCGATCATCTAATTAATACATTTAATTATATAGACAATTCTGATTGGGCGGCATATTTATTTTACATTCCACTCGTACATCCTCTTTATTAAAGATAGGAGAGTAACCGTTGAAAATGATGCGAGCGCATAACTTTGTGTCGGAATTCACCGAGTAAATTGCTCGGGAATTTATGTAAATACGTACTCCGTCGCGTGTGTTATATTCGTAACGTATCCCTTTCACGAGACTAACTCGATCATAACCCATAGTGCTTTTTAAGGTATCCACGATCGATAGCCTCGAGCTGTGCTAGTTTTTAACAAGTCTTACCTCCGAGGCTGAACTCCTTCACGTTTGAGAATCGCGTCCTCACATGAACGCCTGCGGCGCGGCGAGACGTTATAATGGGACACAGTTCTCGCTAAATGCGAATCGCAAAATCGCTTCTCTTGACATCAGCTATGCGAATCAGTTATGCGATTCGGAGCTCAATTAAATTACATAAGGATAATGAACGCGATTCGGATACATTAAGTGTGTCGCAAAAACGATTCGATTGCATCTATACTCGAAATACTGATGTTTCGAATTTCGCTTAACAGCAAAATCGACTGAACCGTGAGTCAGATTAATAATTGAATTTTTTATTTGTTAATCAATGATAATACTGATATTAGAAGTTACAGATTTATGAATAAAATATTACTACGGTTTGATCGCTTCAATTATTATAAAATAAATATTTGGTTGTAAAAATATATTTTTTTAATGATGTGGAAATCTTAACAATAATTGTTACCATTCTATACACACACAAAATTATTTCATTACAATTATATTAAATTAATAACATTATTAGATTTTTGGAAAACAGAACAGAACGAGATTCATTTAGCATTGCATTGATCTAGGAATATCCGAAGTGACAGCAATGATAAACACTAAATACGCGAATCCGAAAGAAGATCATCCCGATGTACAACTAATCTTCGGTGGTTACCTGGCCGATTGCGCGGAGACTGGAATGGTGGGCGAAAAGAAGGGTGCAAACCGCAGCATCTACGTCATCCCGACTATCCTGCACCCGAAAAGCCGCGGTTATCTACGTTTACGAAACAACGATCCTCTCTCGAAGCCACTGATCTACCCCAAATACTTGACTCATCCCGACGATTCGGCAGCTCTCGTGGAAGCCGTTAAGTTCAGTATCCGATTAACGGAGACCCAGGCTCTCAAAAGGTATTAACTTTCAATTTTTAGTAATTTTTTCATGAATGTAAGTAAATGCAGACGTGTTGCATCTTTTTCAAAAAATGAAAATTCCAGATAGAAGAGCATAAATACTTATGTCTATTATTATTTCTGTTTTTGCTATTGTTTCTACATTTCCTTAACAATCTCTTAAATTCATAGACGGTTTACTTGCATTTTAGATTTTAGGATAGAATTCTATTTATAATTTTATATACTTGATATATGTATATATTTTAAAATATATGTTTCTATGCATTTTTTTTACTCTTTAAACTTATTTGTATTACAGAGTACACAAAAATATAAATGGAATCAGATTCTAAACTTTGACGCAAATTATATATATATAGATCACCTAAAATAAACTCAAATACAATCAAATATATACTTTATTCTTTAATTCATATTTTTCGTAATACTTTTTCAATAAAAAATTTTTCTTATTTTTCTTATTTTAACATAATCAATTTCTTATATCATAGATCACTTTTATCATAATCAAAAATGATTTAAAAAATCTTAGATTAGTCTCAGATATCTTGACTTATTTTCGCGAATTCTACGGAAATCACTTATAGGTATGGTTTCGAGCTGGACCGAACTCCCGTGAAGAATTGCGAGCATCTCAAATTTGGTTGCGACGCTTACTGGGAATGTGCAATTCGACATGACACTGCACCCGAGAATCATCAGGCGGGATCCTGCAAAATGGGACCGCCAGATGATCCAATGGCTGTGGTTGACAATCAATTGCGAGTCAGAGGAGTGCGAGGTGTAAGAGTGGCCGACACAAGCATTATGCCGAGGGTCACATCCGGTAATACGAATGCGCCAGCGATTATGATCGGTATGTAAAACTTTTCATCTTTCTCTTTTCCTTTTTATAACTATATGTACATGTTGCAGGTGAAAGAGCGGCAGATTTCATTAAGAAGACCTGGATCGGTTGATTCTATGTTGTTTAATCAAACGATTCAATTGCACTGTCGTATTATTATTTCATTAAAGACATTGTGTATCTCACACATATAAATAAGTGAAAGAGAGGAATTTAGAAAACGTATAAGTATATTTATATAAAAAAGTATAAGTATATATATAT